TGATGAAATCTCTTATGGTGTCATTTGCCATTTTAGTAGGTTTGCCCTTATTAATACATATTGAGCTTTCATTAAGGAGTTGGAGTCAGAGGTTTTAGTACTGACTCCACAGCCTTGGTAATTAGACTAACCTACTTAATGATTATGTCACCAACTATGCAAGAACTTAAAAAATTTGCTTTTCCTCACCTGTCTCCAAACACCTGATGGGACATAACAGGTTTGAATGAGCATCTGTCGTCACTGATATCTGCCAACTGCCGTACTGCAAGCAATATCAAAGTATAAACACAAGCCAAACAATTCAATAATTTTTTCAATTACTTAAATAGTTAGAACACCTACCTAGTTTGAATTCAATGGAGTCATTACTGCTAACTACGAGGGAGTTAACAGAATTCTTCAACATGCTTATACCTGGAGAAAGAAAAACGTTATCAACAAGGTTACAGCCTTAAAATTACGCTATGTACAAACTAGGAAGACATCTGTTTTCTGAATTATAGTAGTGCTGCGTGTGTCATACAAATTTACCAACGTTTCAGAGGTCCTCTAAATTCACTGCAGAGACTACTACGTAGAAATTGTAACAACAAAAAAGTACTCTCCTCTCTATCATTTGTGGTGAAAAATCCGGACCAATTTAAAAGAAATACAGATGTACACAATTTAAAAACAAAACGTAAATATGACCTTCACATGCCAAATACATACTAGCCCCACTAAGTATCAAAAAGAAATATACTAAACAGACATGAAGTTATACCATAATCTTCCACATACAATTAAAAGTTTAAATCATTGAAGCCGTTTTTCTTTGGAACGATTGCCTCTTAACTCACTGCTTCTACTGTGTTGATAATTTTACCTCTGATGAAAATTCTTAAGCTTTATGTATATCTATATGTGAAATACGTTCTGTATTTGTATCATGACATGTTCTGCATCCTTTGGTTTAGCCCAAAGAGGATCTATGGAATGTAAATAAACTCTATCTCTAACATAATTTAAAACATATTCGTATCAAATAAGCGCGTAACATAACCTTTACTGTTCTTGAAATTGTAAAACTATACAGCATATTATTCCTGAAACATACCAGCAGTTTCCATCGTACGCAGGTTTTAGTACTTGCTTCAAAACAATGAGAATCGAACAAAAATTAAGCTTACTCCTTCTTTCGAAAACATTTAAAAACCAGACATTAATGTCAATCTCCCATCTAACATACAGTCCACATTAGGTTATTCCCGCGCAAATACATGAATGTTGAAATCACAGATGGCCATAGTTTATACTTACTTCATCGGGACCACGGATTATGTAGTACATCCTCGGGATATGATTTTAAGACTTGTAGACGGAACAGTGGTGAACACTACAAGAACATTATACACCGAAAGGAGAATTAATGATGTCTGATATTTCGCAAGGGCTGATTGTGGCATTATTATTTAGTGGTTTCAATGAGCAAAGAGTTACAGAGAGACCAGCACACTAAAAACATAGAAGTTTGATAAGGATAGGTTTAATCAAAAGAAGATGAATGATGCTGAAATTGTTGTAGGAAAAATTAATAATAAATAAACATATTTTAGTTGTTAAACGAAAAGACCTTTACACGACAGAGAAAAAATTAACAAGAGTCAAACAAACCAAATCTTACGTCATGTTGACACTGCCACGATCAAGGACCCCAACAGTAGGCTTATGCAGTCCGACTGGGCACTTGAAGACGGAAGTCCTGTGGAATAGATTGCAAAAAGTTGTGGTTTCAAATATCCGAAAAAATATTACATAATGGATGACGCCCATCGAATTGTAATATATGTAATGTGATGTAAATAAATGGGGTGGGCATCAAAGCGACCCTTGCTTCAACTACGAAAATTAGCTATTTTTCTGTGGTTACCAGTTCTCCCAAATCGCCAGTAGCTCCGTGCTTACAACAAAGCACAGTGTGCCATTTAGCGAGATCTCGTGATAATCGCCTGATTTCAGGAAATGCCTGCTCATATGTTAAAATAGTTAGAAGCTGTATGTGTTGTTTGTGGAGATAATCAAGGCCTTCGTGCAGGTCCATGGTCTCTCAGAGTTCCTGTGTCCCTAAAGAGACTTTACCTCTTTAATTAAGGTAATATTCTTAGACTAGGGCCTCATAGGCTCCTTTGTCAGGGACTCCCTGAAATTGGGTAGTGCCATGTACTTCAGCTTCCATGAACTCTTGGACTTTGTTCTTCCCCATCTTTTAAGCTTCCTTCTTGCATTCCAGACACTTAATACCAGATGAAACCTTCTCACATTAAGGTTACATATTATAGATCACCTTTGTCCATAGGTCTGCTGGAATTGCTAGCGTTCTGTGGTGGTTTGTCAGAATTACTTTCTTCCAATCCACAGATCTGCCAGAACTACCGGCTCCTGGAGAGGTGACCTTTATAAATGATAAAAGTATGTTTCTTACAACTGGTGAATCCCTGCCCTCAGTGATCTTCTCAGCTCCCTGAGATGGCATGCCCGAACTACTGGCTCCCTGCTAAGAAAATAAGCTTCCTTCTGTAGTTCTGGACACTAGGTCTGTATCAGAAGCCTGTCTATAACAAAAGCTACATATTGGTCAGACACATATAACTAATTAATAGAAGTTAGAGAAGTCACATACAAACTAATAAAAGGGAATTATGAATGACTGAAAGCATTCTAGCTGTACACTTACATTACTTCTGGTTTTGGGTTTACAACACTTTAAGGATTTGAGTTTTATTGCATAGAGTGTAAATTGAGTGAACAACCATCTTGTAGTATCTCCAGTGGGTGATTTCTTAGTCTTCCTTTTCGGCAATTCCTCCTCCATGTGGCTGCAGCGTCTCTGTGTGTGAATAGGTGATGCCTGTCTCCACCCTCTAACATGTAATTGCAGTAGCTTTGTGTGACCGCTCCCACATCATGGGCACTGAAGTGACTGCAGTTGATCCAGACATAACCAAACTTTTAGTAGGTCTAACACTACATAAACTTGGACTGGGCTCTGTGCACTTTCATCTTTATTATGATGCATAAATTTCCTTTGAAGATTTCTTGTAACTTGGTGCTTTATCTTGATGTAATAAGAAAATGGGCTAAAGGTTTGAGGTCTGGTCCCCTCTCTCAGGAGCTAATTACTTGGGAATCAGTTTTAAATTAATCATACCAAATCCCAGTTCCACCAAGGTATGCAAAATTTCTTCTGCAGGAATGTGTATTAGGAGACGATGGATCACACCCTTAATGGCAGTTCTGATTTTGGATGGAATTTAAAGTAGTGCAATTTTTTGGAACTGAAATATTGCTTTATGGCAGAAAAGTCAACAGTTTCCTTAGCCACTCTTAGTTGTTCTTAGTTAATATATGTACCATCTGTAAAATATTTTTCTATTTTGGCATTTCAGAAGCTTGAAAATGGAGGTCAGTATAATTGGATTAATTCTGTTGTAGGCCATCGGCTGCTCCTGAATTGTCTTTCCTTTGGAGAGCCCCTGTAGTCAGTCCCCTATGAGGTGTCCTCAGGGGTGCCAATTAGTTTTGTGTTGCCACTTCAGTTGATTTCAAGTCTTATTCTGTGACACCGACTGTCTGCTGCAAATGCCAACTCAGGAATTTTATTTGAAGTCTTCTTGTTGTAAACATCACGTGAGTTTTGGTACTGTCCGCTTCTCTGTTCTCCAAAGTCATCAGTATCAGCGCCATCATTTGAAGGGGCTCTAACTGCTTCTTTCTGGACATTTTCCAGGAACTTTATGTCACTAGATTGCAGAACTGACTTCAGCTTGTTTAATGTGATGGTGTAAGTTCCATAAAGGACACTACAGTCACTTTCATTACAGCAGTTTGCACACACTGGTCCTATCTTTTCTGGCAAACTCTACACTACCTGCCCACTCAGCCCTCTCACTGTTGCGAGACTCGCAATATCACCAATAACTTTTCCTGCACTGCATCAACATCATGGTACTTTTCAATCAATAACTTTTCCTGCACTGCATCAACACCTGGGTAATTTTCAACACTGCATAGCGCAACACAGCACAATGTGACACTTCACTTGGTTTCATGTGCTCTTCATATACTCAAATATGAAAACATTGTTTGTGACAGATGTTTCGCACAGTGACATTCCCATTCAAAATTTCACTGGTGCTTCAATGTGTTGTTTAATATGCGATATGCAGCAACCAACAAAATGACCGTATCAAAGAAAAAACCACTTCAAACCAAAAATCAAGACCTTTCATGTCTCAAAACCAAACTAATCAAAGTAAACTCAATTCTACCAGTAACAAGAAACAGGAACCGATTGGTCAAACAGGTTAGGCTGAGGATTAGGCCAGGAGCAATGGCCAGTCCGAGCCAAGTCCACTCCAATACATGCAAGGAAAGGCGCTGTTTTGTAGCACTACAGAAGAGGTTAGGTCGACAGAAAGCACCTCATCCATCCTACGATGGATTATGGGTGCCGAATATGGAGGTTTGCTTCCTGAAGCCACGTCTGCAAGCTGCAAGTGTTACAATCCAAATATCTTAGCATCGCGACTGTGGATTTTGACTCGGAAGTTAGCTGATGTGGGGAAATCCTTAGTTCAGCAACTTGGAAGGTACCATGAAGTTCTTTAGCACATACAACAGGTATCAGGAAGTTAATGTTATTTTGTTTTCTTGTGGTAAAAGTTCGTGTGCAGGTAAAAGGTATGCTTCCGTCAGTTCTATACAAATTATATCTTTCGCAGAATTTTCTCTTACAGTTCACATTCATTTCTCTGTATTTTGTTAAAGTCTTTCCTTGCATCGAAGTTTTCCTTTTAAAGGATGACTTAATGGTGTTTGTAATTTAATTCTTTCTAAAGGTAATAAGGGAACATAGACAACAGAAAATGGATAAAATTAGGAAATACAGTTTTTCATAATACAAAAAGGAGATGATTATTCCACATTTTATGGAAAATTATGTTTCAGAGTTTAACACTTACAAAAATTAATTTAACCTAAAAGTATGGGTGACATAAACAATACAATTTCTTACAGAAAAACAATTACAAATTATATTTTACACATGGGCAATCAGTAAGTTGTGTGTGTGTGTTTGCTGTGGAAATCAGTGCAGTACATATATTTCTGAAATGCCTTCCTTGCTATTTTACATATCCTACTTAACTGGACTTAATGTTCATGTATTTCAGACAAAACCTGTTGTTGCAAAACTAATAACACTACAGATATTACACACAGAGTCAAGAACAAATTTTGCTTCTATTAAACGAATCTGCCATTTTAAGAAATACTTGAACTAGAGCTGTTGATTTTTGTGAGACCTATTTTTGATGCCATGCAGACTCTCTCTATGATCAGCAGCAATGTTTGATAACATTTATTTCAGCTTCACATGAAGGAGGTTCAAACTATGTGAGATTTCAGGTTCTTACAATAGTGAGTATGAAGATGGCCGTCTTCTGGGTTGTCCCATATCATCTATAGAATTTTACTGAAGTTTTTGAGGTGCTTCCATCATCAGGATCATTTCTCTGATGCCACCTTCGCAGCTGTTTCCCAAATGAATTGTCATGAAAACCAACCACCAAAAAAGGGGAATTGGTCAAGGCAAAAACACCTTACCAAAGCAGCAAGCACGCCTGGAAAGTTTCCCGGATTACACGGCGTAACCCTGCCTTTTTTTTAGCATAAAACTCCTAATACCAAACCTAATCATAATCTGCTTAGCAGTTCTGGAGATGAAACATACAGACAGAGAACTGGACAGGTGAATGTGGCCTCCCCATCACATGTTCAATTTATAGAATTTATGTTAAATGCCATGGTTATGCAGTTCTTACTGTAATCAATTTTAAACATATAATCAGAATATTTACACAACACTTTCACTTTCAAGAGAAAGTATGGGCATACCTTCACTATGAATTACAGATGGATCTCCATATTTAGGAGAAATATGTTCTCGAGATGACTGCAAATAATGTCATGGATTCTGTGCATGTATCTGTTTATAACTGGCATGTTAAGAAAGCTATGGGAGAAAATAAAAACATTTATGATCACAGTCGGGTATTTTCTTCATGTCTGTTACAGACAAAATATAAAATAAGAAATTAAGCCTTCGAGTAAGCACAGATTTACTGGCAGATTAAAAGAATGTGGATGCACGAAAGATCAGCTAACAGTTGAAGTGCAAGGGTCACTTTGTCGCTGACCCCATTTACATCCATGCAACCTTTTAACTACAGGTAAACCTCGATTTGCACCACTTCAATTTGCGCCGATTCGGAATAACGCCGCTTTTGAAACCAGCAAGTCAAAAGGTGAAGAAAATATATTTTACTATTATTTATAATGTTTTGCAATGTATCTCGTACTGATTCTTATACTAAATCGTAATTCTTACATTTCTGATTTTGAATAAAAATTATAAATATAGTCACTTCTGCAGTCATTGCTAAGTAGTTGCGAAATAATCTCCTAAAAATCAGCCAACATTGCGCAACAGTCACGTGAGCATTGGTCACTCTTCACGGTGAGTCATTTGTGTTCATCCTGATAAGAGAGTAAGGAAAAATGCGCCCTGTTCGATTCTTGTTGACACATTGAATGTGCTGAAAACTGTGTTTGAGTTGTTGTTCGACCACTATTCTGCAGTAGCAACTGTTTTATATTTATAAATTGTAGAAGAGCCACCATGTCTGGTAAGAGAAGTGAATGTTTTGCTAAAAAGTTGCATAGGTCTATTGCGTTATAAGATAAGATGGACGTATTTCGTAGAATAGAAGGTGGAGATACCCGTCGTAAAGTATGCAGAAGTATGAAGTTGCCTCCTTCCACTGTGACTACCATAATGAAAAATTCATATAAAATAAAACAGTCAATGCAACAGGCTACGAGAGTAAGTGCAACGCAAGTGAGTTATAGCAGAAGTAAACTTTTAGAAAGAATGGAGAAATTACTGTTGCTATGGGTGGATGACATGAATCGAAAAAACATTCCCTTGACTGAAATTGCTATCACGGATAAGGCGAAGTCAGTTTTTGAGGAACTTAAGGTGTCAATGTTTGGGTGCCGGGAACGCATGTCATTGACTTCCCATTGATTTATATTATTAAAAGAGTTTCAATTTACGCCGATTCCATTTACGCTGGTTCGTCCAGGAACGTATCCCTGGCGTAAATCGAGGTTTACCTGTATATCTCTTTGAGATCAATGGTCAAATGTGGGTTGGTCATAGTCATTCCTACTTGTTACACAAATGCATTAAATTCTGAAGAGAAGAAATTACATGGTCAGTTGTTCCATAACTGAAACTGCCAGAAAGAAAGGAGGAGAGAAGTGAGGTTCGGCTCTTTCTAGGCAAATTTCAAAAGACCATGTAATCTTCACTATACCCAACCATTTATCATAATACATTTAAAAAATGATGACAAAAAGATAAGAAAGCTTATACATTCTACAAGTGCTCTGGGTAGAAGCCATTCATGTTTAACATCTGCAACAGATCAAGAAGATGTGGTTGGTAGCCCGTGTTTGCAAGCTTGGTGGCGTATTTGAAGGTGTAAACCGCCAAGCTGTGAAAGCAGCCATATATCTGGACCATTGTATCAAACTTGGGATGTTCATATTGGAAGGAGCCCGACTGGCGCCAAGCCTGGGAATGAATCTGTCCGTGAAACTTGAGTATCATTTTCAGCACATCCAGTAGAGCCTTCTGTATGGAACGTGACTGCTTGTTCAGGAGACACCTGTAACACACACACACACATACCCTACAACAAAGTCTTCTCAAGCTACCTGACATTTTCGAAACTGAGGCAGCCTCCAAAACATCAGGGTTTTAATTCAGGCTGATCACCTGTGGAGACTTCCTCAAAGACTAGTCCTTGATGTTGGAGTCAGAGATTTTCTGCAACAGTCTGTTGATGAAATGCTAGAGTTTAAATAAGGGCTTATAATCCTTTCAGAGGTTATTGTTCTATTTAGTATAAGTCATCATTACCATACCTGCTGAAAACCAGTGGATTTAGTGCAACCGTCATCGTTTGTTAAACCTAATTAAGATTTAAAATTGTACTATTCTGTAAGTTCTGTACTTTATGACTTATTCCACATCACAGTCTGACTAACTTTTGGTATCATGGAATGTGGGTATGTAGGATTTGAGGTTCTCACAAACACAGCTGCCTTCTGGGTAGAAGTTTACGAATGTTTCGGAGGTCCTTGCTGCCTCCCTCATCAGAGCAATGAGTGACTTTACTAAGTAAGATTTTAGGTTATCATGACAGTGAGTTTCAAGATGGCCGTCTTCTGGTTTCAGAGGTCATTGCTGCCTCCATCATCAGGGTATTGATTCAACGTCCTGATGAAATAAGCAGCAAGAACATCTGATACACTGGTAAATTTCTACCTCACTACATCGTGCTACAACCCCCAAAACAGCCATCGTCTGTTTATGTATTTTGAAAACTGCAATGGCTGATGGCCCAAAATATCTTTATTGCACTTAGCTAACATGAAAACTTCATATTTTATAAAAGAGTGGATCACTGCTGACAAAAATAACTTTCTGCAAATAAACTTACTGACAATACATAGTCAGAAATTACCTTCGCTTTTATTTAATTAATTATTAATGACATCAAGATATTTGAAATGAAAATAATAGATCTTAATGAGATGTATATTTTTTGTCATCTACGTAATTCTTGGACAATGAGTCATTCTTACGCAACTTAAAATTTGATTTGAACTTCATGTAAAATATGGTTTCTATTGGACCAAACTGAAGAAAGACAGGATTTTCTTGACAACTTTAAGGGACACCAAATACCAAACATAAATTATATCCACTCAGCAAGTCTGGATGTAAAATCCACACAGACAGATATAACCTCTCTGGCACTCCAGTTTGAAACACACATGACTGCCAAATGCATTTTCTCTAAATGATAAAGCAACTAGCTAAGGGAATGCAAAAATCAACTTTATGAGCATTAGCTTCATTTAAATGGGTAAGACTACCTCTCCGTATTTTTTAAGTGTTCATGAATGAGGCTTACTGCTTTGTACATAAGGAATAGGAGAGGTTAGCCGGAATATGAATATAATATTCCACCATAAATGTCTTGAAAACAGTAAGACATTAATCTGTGAGAATTAAACTTACACATTAATTTATGTAGTATAGTTAAAACCCAAAGTGGTTTTCATTTCTGCTGCCATCTTGCCCAAGCGCATGATACTCAAGAAACGAAAGTATTTTTAGGGGTTTCTAGAAGATATAACTGACCAGACATTTGTCGCGCTGTTGTATCTTACATTTTTTCAAAGGTCATCTAAAAATGGCCATTGATGCACGCGTGCATCAATTGCACAGAGAAATAGTAGTTATATTCCACGCAGCTCAACGCAAGTATCATCGACTAGAACACTTACATAATTACACATGACATGAGCATATACTCGATTAACAAACGTTCCTAAATTTCAACACTGAATATTTTTTGCTGGTACTGAAAATTTCCACATTTACAGTGGCAAAATGAAATACTGTTTACTATGCCCGATTCCCTGAACTGAATGAAAAACCGACAAACCTGAAGAGCACCATTTTGACATGGGTAACATGTATCCTATAGAGATCATCAAGAGTGCAGGCATTCTGTAGCTTCTGTAGGAACTCAACCCAGCTTGCCTGGAGCACAGTGGCAGTAACATAGTTCTGAAGCGCACGTACAAAATGTGTCATTTCATGGCGATACAGCTGCAAACGGTGATACTGTGGGGAGCGCAGCAGGCCAGGTTTATCTTCGGCTTCTCTCTTTAGGTAATGAAAATCCTCCTCCAGCACCCAGGAGATGCGGCGCAGTCTTAGCAGGTACCCGAAGATCTGCAGGAAATGGGAAGAATGAACTGTTCTGTCTCAGTAACACACTTTTACATTACGAGGTGCGATAGGAAAGTTTCAAGACTGTGTCAATAGAGGGCGAACCGGATGTAGTACGAGCTTCTGCCGCTAGGGGGTGCGGCCTACATTCATAGTGAATCAGTGTGCCAGCCGGCATCATCGAATTAGCATTTGTTTCTTAGTTACAAGCGTTTTGGTAGTGCATTGCACCGACCCTCCTGC